ACCCTTTTTTAATATTTAAAAAATCTTATTTTTCTCGCTTTAAATTAAAAGCGAGAATTTAAACATGTTTTTCTTAATATAAAAATGAATATAAAATAGATTTATAACAAAAAATAATTTATATATCTTTTCACACAATTTGTACCTAAATAATGAACGAAAATGGGTCGAATAAACTTGATTACACAACTCATAAAGTTCTCATTTCATTCGAACAGAAACTTTTCCAGGCTTTTACTCGTTATAACTCTTTATATAATTCCAACAGAAGCTTTCCAGTCTTCTATTCGTTATAACTCTATATAATTCCAACAGAAGCTTTCCAGTCTTCTATTCGTTATAACTCTGTACATAATTCCAACAGAAACTTTTCCAGTCTTCTACTCGTTATAACTCTTTATATAATTCCAACAGAAATTTTCCAGTTTTCTACTCGTTATAACTCTTTACATGGTTCCAACAGAAATTTTTCCATTCTTCTACTCGTTATAACCCTTTACATGATTCCAACAGAAATTTTTCCAGTTTTCTACTCGTTATAACTCTTTACATGGTTCCAACAGAAATTTTCCCATTCTTCTACTCGTTATAACTCTTTACATGATTCCAACAGAAATTTTTCCAGTCTTCTATTCGTTATAACTCTATATATAATTCCAACAGAAGCTTTCACAGTATACTACTACTCGCTATAACTTATGACATCTAACATAAATTTTTATAGTCTACTACTCATTATAAGCTGTTAAGTCACACCAACAGAAACTTTCTTCAGACTATTATCTTTTACAACTTAGGTCACTCCAACAGATATTTCGACAGTATACTACTCGTCATAAGTTTTGTAATTCAATAGAACTGTTTAGAACTTCTTATTTCAACAGAAACTCCCATTTTCAACTATGATTATAAGTTGCTACTTAATTTCAACATAACCTTCGTCAGTCTACTATTTACCTTTCATAACTTATTATGCCATTTCAGAAAAAACTTCCACTGCCTACTATTGGCTATAACGTACAATAGAAACTCCTCTTTCTACTTCTCATTACGTCTCCTTACATCAATCCAAATGAATCTTCTTTGATTTTTTTAATAATAAAATCCTTATACATACGTTTTTTTTAAATATTTTGAACAAATTAAGTTTAACAATGTCAAATTAAGGTTTTCATTTGGTTTTACTCTTAATATTACTGAATATTTAAGAAGCTCCTATCGTATATAAAATATCAAATTATAAAAAAATAAGATTACAAGAACTGTTAGAACACGTTATATTTTGTGAAGCTTGAGCACAGCATTATTTTTTGACCCCTAAATTAACGTTATCACTAACAACGTCTCGTTTTGTTAACGTTTAAGTATTTTAGTGATAATAATAGTTTCGTTGATTGGTTGCTTTTTAAGTTGCTAAAGATATATATATACACTGGATGTTTATGCTATATATTAAAAGTAGTGCATTCTAGTGACTATATACTAAAAAAGTGAGTTACAGTTTTACTTAATCTTTTGAAAGTTCTTTTACCAAGATTCGAAGACCGAATAACAACTTTTGATTACAGTTTATTTTTATTTCATTCCTCTTAAAATTCACAGGTCTATAAACTGGAATCAACACTCTACATAACACTGCCTTCACACATCGTAATGCTTAATTTCTAGAAAACACTCTACACAATACTCCCTTGACAGACTTTAATAATTCATTTCTATACAACACTACACGACACAGAATATAATACTTAATTTCTAGACAACACTGCCTTCACAGACTGTAATGATTAATTTCTATACAACACTACACGACACTGCCTTCACAGACCGTAATAATTAATTTCTATACAACACTACACGACACTGCCTTCACAGAATGTAATACATAATTTCTAGACAACACTCTACACAACACTGCCTTCACAGAATGTAATACATAATTTCTAGACAACACTCTACACAACACTGCCTTCACAGACCGTAATGATTTAACTTTTATACAACACTACACGAAACAGCCTTCACAGACTGTAATAAAATAATACTGTATTTGAAGCTGCATTATCAAGCAGCCACGTGTAGCTTCTATATAATATTCTAAATGAAACTGTCTTAACACAATGTATTATCATGATCGCATACAACACACTACAAGGCATTGACTTAGGAAAAGGCTATATCTGGGTTCTATAGAACACAGGGCATGACACTGCCTCAATAGACTATAAAATTTCCGCACACTAGTCTTAACAGAGCATATTACTTGATTTCTATACAACATTGCTTAAACAGCTGTATTATATGGGTTCTATACAAATTTTACATAGTACTGCCTTAATAAATCATACTACTTAGATATTAAACAACAATATATGTGGCATTGCCATATCGTGATTACTGGGCTCTGTGAAGCATTTTATATAAAAGTACTCTTATAGAATGTGATAACTGGTTCTATACAAAACATTGTACTGCCTGGCTTAATGTAATATAATATATCGCTTCCATACAGATCTTTGTAAGACACAATGGTTCTTAAGCAACACTTTATACTACACTGAATTAGCAAACTAGAATATCAGGAATCTATAAAGTTATCTGTACTGTACTGACTTAATAGGTTTTAATATCTGATTTCAACATAACTTTTTATACGACATTGGTTTAACATATGACTTCCATACAATTTATTGTCCGGCACTAGCTTAACATACATTATTTTCTGGCTTTCATATAACTCTTCGTTCGAAACAGGCTTAACAGAGTCTAATACTTGGCTTCCATACAATTATCTGTCCGACGCTAGTCTAACAAGTTCTGATATCTGGTTTCTATACAACTCTATCTGAAAGTGGTTCAACAGGCTGTAATACCTGGTATTCATATTCTTTTGTTAAACTGAGAATACTCACTTATGGCACACATTAAGACTCATTTCCTCGTTTTTATAAACGTGTGCTGATATTTAACGTTTTAAATAGAAGCTCGCAACTCATTACATTTGTCGCTGTTTGTTACATTAGTATAGTGCTTATTTCGTGTCACAGTATTGGATTCTTTTATGATTTGTTGTTTAATAGTATCAGGAAGTAAACCAAAGGATTTATTGTATACTGCAGTGTTCATTAATCAGAGGTAGGTTTATTAGGTCTTTTAGTATATTTAATATATATTTTACTGTATTTTAGTATGTGCGGCAAAGCACATAAAAATCAGACATTAGGTTGTTAATTAATTTCTGCACATTTTTGTAGATATTACAATGAAATTGTGCCTGTTAAAAACTATTATTTTCTGTGAGACTTTCATGTCATTATCATAACAAAAGAAGAGTGGTTTGTTTTAAAGTTCTGCAGTCATATGTGCGAAACATAAGAACAAACAATGAAAAACAAGAGGTTACGCTAGGTTAACACTTCTAAATTCAAGATTAACACAATCATCCATGAGTTGGTAGTGTACTTGTATAACAAACCTTGTAACTTAAAAATATTTTAAAAGGTTTTGATATAACTAAATTACATAGTTGATCAAACTGATACACTGGGCCGAACTTTGATTTATTGGTGTATTTTTTCTATACTAGCCCAGTATACGGAGCTGTTCAGTGTGATTAAGCCTTAGGCTTGATGGAGTGTATCAATGTTTTATTTCTGTGGTTCATACGACACGTTCATCACTTTCGTTGTAAATAATATATTTTATGTTTCTACGTTACTTTTTCTTCATTAATTCCAATTTACGACTATGAAGAAACCTACTGTTTTTATGCATCATTATACATATTTTCATGTTCTTGTGCTATAAAGCCCGTGTTCGTCTTCTTTATTATGTTTACTTTGTATTTTCCTGTGCAACTTCTCCTTGTGTACGTCCTATTCATTATGCTTACTTTCACGTTTCTATTTTATTTCACCCCATGTTCATCCTATTTATTACGCTTACTTTCATGTTTTCATTTTATTACCCCATAAATATTCTGTTTATTATGCTTACTTTCAAGTTTCTAGCTTATTTCATCCCATGTTCATCTCGTATATTATACTTGCTTTCATGATTCTATTTTACTACCCCTTGTTTATCCTATTCACTATGCTTACGTTCATGTTTCCATTTTGTTTCATCCCATGTTTAAGCTATTTATTATGCTTACTCTCGTGTTTCTATTTGATTTTCCCCTGTTTATCCTGTTCATTATGCTTACTTTCACTTTTCTATTTGATTTAACCTCATGCTCATCCTTTTCATTACGCTTACCTTTATGTTTCTGTTTGATTTCATCCCATGTTTAAGCTGTTTATTATGCTTACTTTCATGTTACTATTTGATTTAACCCCATGTTCATCCTATTTATTATGCTTACTTTCATGTTTGCACTATATTTCACCCCATTTTTATCCTGTTTACTATGCTTACTTTCAAGTTTCTATTTTATTTCACCCCATGATCATCTCGTACATTATATTTGCTTTCATGATTCTATTGTACTACACACCATGTTTATCCTACTCATTATGCTTACTTTCATGTTTCCATTTTATCTCTTCTTTTATTTCATTCCATGTTCATCCTTCTCATTATTCTTACTTTTCATTTTTATGTACTAAACAACTATTTCATCTCATTATACTTATTGCTTGATATTATTCCGTATTTACATAAAACATTATAGCTTTCCACTAAAATGTGTTTATTCACTTCGCAATAGAAATGCCATAGTACAATTAAAGAAACTTACTTATTTAACTATAAAATTTTTAAAACTGGAGAACAAAATGCTTTATAATCGTATCCTAGATAAAAACAATTAATGTTGAAAATTAGTAATTGCTTCTTCCACAGTAATGGCTAACAAACAATTCCTGTTGCAAAAAGGTTTACTACATTTATAAAATGTATTTTTTCACTAAGAATTTAAATTTCTTTCACGATAAAATTTGTTTAAATATCTGAAGCATGTAAAAGCTAAAAATTGAAGATATGACTGCCAGAGACTTTACCTTCCAGGGGTTTTCTCACGACCGACTTGGAAGCACTTTCGAACAATATTGGAATGGAAAAACTGACGTAGAATTTGCTATTCGATGAGTTTCTTCATAACCTTTCGACCTTCGAAGTTATAAATATAAGTCTTTCAGAAGAATCTTAAGTCTTCCAACTCAGCTGTGATTTCGTTAGAGAATGAATAGCGTGCCTCACGAGCCGTCGCTGTTTGCACAAGCTAACTTTGTGTGACGTTGTCTGCAGACCCTCGACGAACGAACAACAGAGCATGAGTGATTATTTTGGAGATGTCAAACCAAGAAGCTCGTGATGATATTGCCATAGCAACAGTTGTGACAGCTTTGTGCTCATGTCCACCTGCGCAAAAAGGGACTTTGTACCACAAAACGTGTGTATAAATTCTCTAGTCTTATAGATGATGTCATTCTGTTAATACAAGTTGTTTTTTTTCTGAAGGAGCATCAGAAAGAATGTATCTGTTAGCTCTACGTTATCATCTGCTTGGATAGAATACTTGAGAACTGTTTATATTTCTTCTGACTTCTTCCTTTATATTTATTCTAGATGTCTGGGATGTGTTTGTATTCATTCTAGATATATTGGATGTGTTTGTATTTATCCTAGATGTCTGGGATGTGTTTGTATTCATTCTAGATATATTGGATGTGTTTGTATTTATCCTAGATGTCTGGGATGTGTTTGTATTCATTCTAGATATATTGGATGTGTTTGTATTTATCCTAGATGTCTTGGATGTATTTGTATTTATCCTAGATGTCTTTGATGTATTTGTTTTTATCCCAAATGTCTTGGTTGTGTTTGTATTTTATCCTAGATGTCTTGGATGTGTTTCTATTTTATCCCAGATGTCTTAGATGTGTTTGTATTTTTTAGAATTGTGAATTCAATACAATGTACAATCAGCTTTGCTTCAGTGGCTTAGAGGTGTTTTTGCCAATATGACTTCATAACAAGCTTCACTACCCCTGGTTTAGACGCGTTCGTTTCTAGTGAAAGTTCTTCATATGTAGCTTACACCTCTTGATGTATTAAATTACGCATGTTTCTTTTTTATAATAAAATGAAATGTTTTTATTATTATTATTATGGTCCCATATATGTTTATGACTTTTCTTAAATATTTTCCTGACAACCTTGTGGTATCCTTTCCACGAGTCTCACAATAGGCATACAGAAATGTCTTATCTCCAAGAAAACTTGTAGTATAAGGAAGTATAACAAACATTATGTTATGATGAACCCATAAATGTTACTATCGTACATAAGTGTTATATTTAATTTTTCTTAAATATCAAAAGTTTAAAATGCATTGTAACTTTAGGGTTGATTCCCTAACAAGGTAATTTATCGAATTTTCAGGATTAATTGATTCGTTTCTTTAGTTGTACACGATGACTTTAAAGCCCAGAATCAGTCTATTGTAATACGGTGAGATGAACTGAAACTGTTTTTTCGTTCGATGAGCTAGTGAACTGAAGACTAAATATTGTGACTCTACAGATACATTGACTTGCTTAGTTTGTTAGAGTAGCTTTACGGTAAATATTGTGACACTCTAGATACATTGGCTTGCTTAGTTTGTTAGAGTGTCTTTATTGTAAATTTTGTCACTCTCTAGATACATTGGCTTGCTTAATTTGTAAGAGTGGTTTTACGGTATATACGAGTATATAGTTACTCTCTAGATGAATTGGCTTGCTTAGTTTGTTAGAATGACTTTACGGTAAATGCAGTGACTCTTTAGATACATTGGCGTGCTTAGTTTGTTAGAATGACTTTACGGTAAATGCAGTGACTCTTTAGATACATTGGCGTGCTTAGTTTGTTAAAGTTGCTTTACGGTAAATATAGTTACTCTCCAGATACCCTGGTGTGCTTAGTTTGTAAGAATGTTTTTACGGCAAATATAGTTGCTCTCTAGATACATTGGCTTACTCAGTTTTTTACAGTGGCTTTACGGTAAATATAGTTGCTCTCTTGATACATTGGCTTGCTCAGTTTGTTACAGTGGCTTTACGGTAAATATTATACTCTATAGATACATTGGCCTGCTTAGTTTGTTAGAGTAGCTTTACGATAAAAATAGTTACTCTCCAGATACATTGGCTTGCTTAGTTTGTTAGAGTGGCTTTCTAACAAATAAACTCTGTAGATACATTGGCCTGCTAAGTTTGTTAGAGTGGCTTTACGATAAATATAGTAATTCTATATATATATTAGCTTGCTTCGTTTGTAAGAGTGGGTTTACGGTAAATATTGTGACTTTCTAGATTCATTGGCTTCAATAGTTTCTTAGAGTGGCTTTACGGTAAACACAATTACTCTCCAGATACATTGGCTGGCCTAGTTTGTTAGAGTGGATTTGTGGTAAATATAGTGACTCTCTAGATACATTGGCTTGCTTAGTTTGTTAGAGTGGCTTTACGGTAAATATTGTACTCTCTAGATAGAATAGCCTCCTTAGTTTGTTAGAGTGGCTTTACTGTAAATGTTGTGACTCTCAAGTTACATTGGCTTGCTTAGTTTGTTAGAGTGGCTTCACGGCAAACATTATACTCTTTACATACATTAGTTTGCCTAGTTCGTTAGAGTGGCTTTTTAGTAAATATATTTTCTCTCTAGATACATTGGCTTGCTTAGTTTCTTAGCGTGGATTTACGGCAATTATTGTATTCTCTAAATACATTGGCTTGCTTAGTTTCTTAGCGTGGATTTACGGCAAATATTGTACTATCTACATACATTGGCTTGCTTAGTTTGTTGCAGTGGATTTACGGCACATATTTTACTGTCTAGATATATTGGCTTGCTTAGCTCGTTAGAGTGAGTTACGGTAGATATAGTGACACTCTAGATACATTGGCTTGGCTAGTTTGTTAGAGTGGCTTTACTCTAGATATTGTGCCTCTCTAGATACATTGGCCTGCTTAGTTTGTTAGATTGGCTTTACGGTAAATATAGTGACTCTCTAGATACACTGGCTTGCTTAGTTTGTTAGAGTGGCTTTACTCTAGATATTGTGCCTCTCTAGATACATTGGCCTGCTTAGTTTGTTAGATTGGCTTTACGGTAAATATAGTGACTCTCTAGATACACTGGCTTGCTTAGTTTGTTAGAATGGTTTTACGGTAATTATATTGACTCTCTAGATACATTAGCTTGCTTATTTTGTTAAAGTGGCTTTATGGGAAGTATTGTGACTCTAGATATATTGGCTTGCTTAGTTTGTTACAGTGGATTTACGGCAAATATTTTAATCTATTGATACATTGCCTTCCTTTGTTTGAAAGAGTGGCCTAACGGTAAACATAGTGACTCTAGATATATTGGCTTGCTTAGTTTATTAGAGTGGCTTTACGGTGAGAATTGTTGAGTCTATATCCACATTCGTTTTCTCAGATTTTCAGCAAATGTACAAGACTTACATGCAGCTGAGTGCTCCCATCAAACTTTTTTTTTATCCAGTTAAAAACTAAGTCTCTTGATATCGCACCAATTGATCATATAGGACACAGAGGCTGAAAGTATTATATAAAGTGATACCTTACGTAATTAGAGTATATGTTTTCTTGTAGCAACGCCACATCGGGCTGTGTCCATGCAGGGGAATCGAACCCCTGATCTCAGCGTTGTAGGGTTTCGATCTTATTCGTCATGGTTTCATTTTGTCACTGTTACAATATGTACATGTCTATATACATATATCTAAATTAAGAAGTTACAATCATATTTTTGTCAGAAACTAGAAATTTGTCACTAGTATGAAATATTCGTAATAATTAACGAACCTAATATACTTCAAACTACATTTTCAGACACGCTAAAAAAAAGGTATACACAAAAATCATACAATTTTTTAAAGATTTCGGAGAAAATGCATTCCTGTTGAAAAGACCAAATGTATCTTTCATTCTACCAACTTTCATTTTTGAATAAAATGATCGTTTTTGATCTATCAATTTTTAAGGTTTATATTTTTATCATGCATTTAAAAAACATAAGGTCAAAGAGGCAACATACAAACTAGAACTAAAACCGTCCGCAAATTTGTTTGCTGTTAAGCACAAAGTGACACAAAAGGCATCGAAATCCCCTTTTTTAGTGTTATGAACCTTCAGACTGAGCCACTAGGAGGCACGTCTGCCGAAGAAGGCTCTACGTTGCGGTAAAGTACTCCTTTCATCACTACCGAAACGATTATGTGAAGGTGTCCCTCAAAATTATTTGAATTCAATATTATTAAGATTGTTTGTTTGTTTGAAGTTAAGCACAAAGCTACACAAAGGGCCATCTGTGCTCTGGTCACAACGAGTATCGAAACCCGGTTTCTGGTGTTGTAAGTCCGCCGAGATACCGCTGTGTCACTAAATATATTAGTTTTTATACAAATATATTTTCTTTAATATATAGTAAATTGGGCTATGTTTATACTTTAAATATTACCAATAGTCGAACACTATTTTATGTTTAAATAATACTACTTTAAATATTATTAATAGTCGAACGCTATTTTATGTTTAAATAATAGTACTTTAAATATTACCAATAATCGAGCGCTGTTTCATGTTTAAATTAAAACATAAAACAGCGCTCGACTATTGGTAATATTTAAAGTAGTATAATTTAAACATAAAACAGCGCTCGACTATTGGTAATATTTAAAGTAGTAAATTTATACTACTTTAAATATTACCAATAGTCGAGCGCTGTTTTGTGTTTAAATCATACACTTACGGTTATGTCAAACTTAATCCCTATTCAAGACTTATACCTTTGTCAAAAATCTTCCATTACCAAGATAGAGTAGAATTGAAAGAATAAAAGTAATGAAAAGGAACATTAAGTATCAAGCAATAAGTATCAGGGATGAGAAACAGAACACTGAGTTACGTAAAAACTTTCCAGAATAAACGAGAAGAAACATTTACATTTGCAATTGAGCGCAATGACGATGTTGTAGTAGACGTTTAGCACTCAAACATTTTTGAGAATTCTTAGCAAGCTGTGAACAGCGAAGATACGTTTAAACGATATTCACTGTTATAGTTTGTTTTTATTGGTTTGGACCCTACTTCTTACCTCGTGATTGGTTCAAGATTTATTTTCTATGATTTTTAACAGTTATAAAACCCATTTCCTTCATTTTGGGTTATATTCAGGAGTTACAGTAAGGAAACGAAAGTGAGATTGTTTGTTGAATTTGTTGAAACATTACTCGATGGCTATATG